CAGGCCGTGCTCACCCCTGATATAGCACTGTGCCAAGGTCACGTTATCCCTATCATAGGGTCGTGCTCACCCCTGACATGTTAACCAAGGTCACGATACCCACGTAACAATCCAGAGCCGTGCTCACCCCTGATATAATACTGTGCCAAGGTCACGTTACCCCTAACCTAGGGCCGTGCTCACCCCTAACATGTTAACCAAGGTCACGATACTCATGTAACAATCTCAGGCCGTGCTCACCCCTGATATAACACTGTGCCAAGGTCACGTTATCCCTATCATAGGGTCGTGCTCACCCCTGACATGTTAACCAAGGTCACGATACCTATGTAACAATCCCGGGCCGTGCTCACCCCTGGTCATAGGTGTGAAGAACCACAATCACATCTCATTCACTTTCACATCCACATCCACATCCACATCTACATCCACATCCACATCCACAATACATACACAATCCACACAAAATGGTGGTTCACATACCACTCAAGTAATTCACCGTGAATCTTCACCTAGATCATCAATTTTATCAAATAATATAACAATAACATTAATATTATATTCAATAGAATTAGCAATTTAATATAATCTTAACATAAACGGTAAAACCCCTAATTATTCTAAAACCTAACTCATAGGCACTTTTCTACAGTTTCGTTCTCACTCTCAGATCATCATTCTTACAAATTAAATATATATTTCTAATCCTCAACACATACGGAATCTAATGGTATAATTAATTCCTCAAACAGAAATAATCCAATTTTTCCAAAACCTAACCTATAGGCACTTTTCTATAATTTCGTTCCCTCTCCTAGAGCATCATTTTTACAAATAAACCATATATTTGTTGTCCTAAATATATACAGAATCAAATAATGCCAATAATTCTTCAAACAGAAATAATTCTAAAATTACTCATAATCCTAAGGGGTTCTTCCTCTACCCAATTTCCTTATGTAACTCTATATATAAATAATTTCCTTTTCCCCCGTACCTGGATAAATAGGAACTAGGGCATAACCTCCTCCTTTCTTTCCTTAAACAAGGACCGGGACTAAAACTGGGGCAGAACCTCATCCTCTGAGTTCCTCTTGGTCATCAGAGAGAAGAAGAGGAAAGAATTAGAGCATAAGAGAGAAGGAAGAGAAAGTGTGTGAAAAAGAGAGAAATGAGGGTCTATTTATAGGAATCCTGGCTCACCTACCGGAACGGCCCGTTCCAAAAGTGGAACGCCCGTTCTGGACCCTTCAAACCTACGCAAATTTCTCAACTGGAACGGCCCGTTCTAAAACCGGAACGGCCCGTTCTCAAACCCAGCAGAACGGCCCGTTCTGCTTCCAGAACGGCTCGTTCTGCTTCCAGAACGGCCCGTTCTCCCTCCAGAACGGCCCGTTCTCCAAACTAGAACGGCCCGTTCTCCAAACTAGAACGGCCCGTTCTCAAATTGGAAAGGCCCGTTCTCCCACTTCATTTTCTAAGAGTTTCCTTATTCCGGAACGGCCCGTTTCACTTTTGAAACGGCCTGTTCCGGGCAACGAATTGGGCCCTTGGCCCAGCGAAAAATTGGGCTGTTAAACACGGGACCACTAAGACTTAGAGGAGAATAGCAAGTTACCACTCCAAGGGTCAGCTTTTCAGGGAGGGTTTTCAACAAATTGGGCTCGTAGAGCACCACAGTCGCTGCATCCACACAATGAGATGAGGTAAATTTCGAAAACAACTCCTCTAGTCTTAGTGTTCAACAACTCAGCCTTACGGCCTACAAAAACTAAGCCATTACGGTCTACAACAACTCAGCCATTACGGCCTACAACAACTCAGTCATTTCGGCCTACAGCAACTCAGCCCAACAATCTATAGTACAACAATATTTTAATTCAACATACAGCGTATTCTACACATAATACGACTCATCCACCTTGTTTACAACTCATCTACCTTGTCAAATTACCCACCCAAGCAACACCAATCAACCTAAGCACCTAAAACAACTTTCAACTTAACCAAATCACTAAATGTGAAATGGCAACCTTCACAAAATAACAGCGCATCAGGAGTTATACTACTCCTACCATACTCATCCTTATCTCATATGAAAGATAAGAAGATTTCCTACAACTCTCATGAAGACACCAAGTCCTAACTCCTTCATCTACCATATTAAAAATGATAAAAACAGCAACAACTATAAATAAAGCTAGCAGCTCGACCCCTCTTCACTAAAAAAGCCATATCTAGAGTTCTAAAACTCCTTTTTGAGTGATTCCAGCTCCATTGGAAAGCTAACATCTAAGGCTACAACGTTCATGAAGACTGTAAAGTCAAATTCTCAAAATTAAATGCACGCCCGGCGCATTAAAAGAGAGCCCGGCGCAATTCTCAAGCAGAGACCTTCATAGGTCTATTGCGCCCGGTGTGGTTCTTCCCACGCCCGGCGCGATTCACCCAGGGATTCCCCATTTCAAATCGCACCCAGCGCGAAGAACTGAGCCCGGCGCAAATTCAAAGGCTTACGCTTTTTTTTTCAGCATATGATTTCTGCCTACTCCGAACAGTCTTCATCCTCTCTTGAATCAGCTTCACCTCCTCAGTAGTCTGTAGGATCAGCTCCGGTCCCACAACCACTGATTCACCATCTTGATACTAGCACAGAGGAGTCCTACATCTTCTGCCATACAAGGCTTCAAACGGCGCCATCCCAATACTAGCATGAAAGCTATTATTATACGTGAACTCAACCAGCGGTAGGACCTCCTCCCAGCTCAAAACCAACAGCCTTCTCGGTTCCCAGCAAACCAAGAAGTTTCACTAGCTCAACATCCTACAACTGCTTCTGTTCAACCTGCCTCAAGAACTCACTAGTTATGATAATCATCCCACAACTAATGTGAGCCTGAGCTAACTCCACCCAGAGGTTCAGATCTCTAAACTCCTCTACCAGGTCCAGCTCTCTCACCATCATACTAGACATGTGGATGGATTTCCTACTCAGCGCGTCCGCCACAACATTGACCTTACCAGGATGATACATCAACTGGAAATCATAATCCTTCAGAAACTCCATCCACCGCCTCTACCTCATGTTCAACTCCTTCTGATCAAACAAGTACTTCAGACTCTTGTGATCACTGAAGACGCTGAACCGAGCACCATACAGATAATGTCTCCATATCTTCAAGGCAAAAACAACAACTACCAACTCCAAGTCATGAGTGGGATAATTCTCTCATGATTCTTTAGTTGCCTTGAAGCATATGCCACCACTTTCCTGTTCTGCATCAGCACACACCCCAAACCCTGGTAAGAAGCATCACAATACACATCAAAAGCTTCACCAGAGTCGGGCAATGCCAGCACAGGAGAAGTAGTCACCCTCCTTTTCAGCTCATCAAACTCCGCTCACAGGCATCAATCCAAATGAACGGCTGCTCCTTCCTTGTCAGCTGGGTTAGAGGCGCTACTATCTTGGAGAATCCCTCAATGAACCTTCGATAGTAACCCGCCAAACCCACAAAACTTCGAACATTAGTGACAGTTCTGGGACACTCCCACTGCAACACCGACTCCATATTGCTAGACTCAGGCTGGAAGGAAACCAATTGGAAGGAGATATAGCACATGATTTTGGTGTCTATCCAAATTTGGAATACATTGATTTGAGTGACAATAAGTTTTACGGCCAAATTTCACCAAATTGGGGTAAGTGCCCTAGCATTGATACCTTGATAATTTAGTGGGTCTTTCAATGGTCCTCTTTGCTTTCAAAGTTATATTTTTATTGGTCTTCCATTACGGCCCTCTTTGTTAATTTCTATTGCACCATCAAGTGAAATAATAGTTGAGACAGGACTTTAGACGAGTGACTACATGTTTTGTGCATAAATGTGTATTGGCTTATAGTGCTAGACTTTGAAAAGTGTAGTCAAGTCATAATAAGTACCCACTAATGCCACTTGATTATTTCCTATTTAAGAATATCCCAGCTCCAAATTCTGTCGCCACCACAAGACACCATCCATTTCCAAGAATCTGATTGTATTGTTGATCCAGAAATCCTTTTATACTAAGAACCATGGTATCCATCAAGATTCTTTTCTATTTTCTGTTGGTCTTTCTATCATACTCTTCACCCCAAGTTGCTAGTTTTTCCAAAATCATAGTTGCCGTTGGTGATCAAGGTGCAGCGAAAAACAGTGAAGCAAAGGCACTGTTATACTGATGTGTGAAAAACCGCAAGTGTACGGTTGTCGTCAAGTAATAAATATCGAATCACAGGGACTACGTGTTTGACCTAGAATTACTAGTATTTTAATTTGAATTTTAAAACAGATGGAATTTCTGTTTTGATTAGGCCACGTTCCTCTAGAGATCGGAAAGTTGAACAAGTTGGAGTATCTAAGCATTGCGGAGAATAACCTTTTCGGTCCCATTCCTCAAGACATTGGAATGTTGACAAACCTTAAGCTTATTGATTTGTCAACAAACTCTCTATCCGGTAGTATCCCTGAAACAATAGGTAACTTGAGTAATTTAAATGAACTTTACCTTTCTAATAACTCCCTTCTATCAGGGCCAATTCCATCCTCTTTGTGGAATGTGTCTAACTTGACCTTGCTCTACCTTGATAACAACACACTTTCTGGATCAATCTCTTCCACCATTGGAAACTTGGCCAATTTAGTGGAACTTGCACTAGATGTAAACCACTTTTCCGGATCGATTCCGTCCACCATTGGAAACTTGACAAAGCTAATAGTGTTGTATTTAGGATTTAACAATCTTTTTGGAACAATTCCTCCCTCAGTAGGAAATTTGATCAATTTGGATGTCCTTAGTCTCCAAGTAAACCATCTCTCAGGAACAATTCCAGCCACAGTTGGAAATTTGAAAAGTCTCACTACTTTGGAATTGTCCACCAACAAACTTAATGGCAACGTTCCACAATCCTTGAATGACATTCCCTATTGGTATTCCTTGTTACTGGCCGATAATGATTTCACAGGTCATTTACCACCTGAAATTTGCTCATCTGGGTCACTGGCATTCTTTACTGCTCATCTCAACCATTTCACAGGTCCAGTTCCAAGAAGCTTAAAGAATTGCTCTAGTATTGCTAGACTCAGGCTGGAAGGAAACCAATTGGAAGGAGATATAGCACATGATTTTGGTGTCTATCCAAATTTGGAATACATTGATTTGAGTGACAATAAGTTTTACGGCCAAATTTCACCAAATTGGGGTAAGTGCCCTAGCATTGATACCTTGAAGATATCCAACAATAATATTACTACCTCCGGGTCTGCATCTCTGTTAAACTATAGAGGGCGGCATTTCTGGAACTCAGCTAGATCTCGCCTCTCCTGCGACCCCACGGGCCTTGCTGCACCAGCTGCAGCTCTATCAACGTCCATCCTAGCAAAATAAGCATTTTGCCGCTGCATAGCCATAGCCATCATCTTCATGGCACGGGATATTTGCTCATTGGTTATAGTTGTTGTCTACAGAAGTAACAACATCTTCAGTATACAATAACTAAACCAAACAACCATCAACAGCACAACAATCAATGAAGAAATCAGCACAACAAAACAACATAGCAACGCAACACAACACAGAGCTCAGCACAACAAAAGCCTAAAGGAACCACCCCCACAGAGTGTTTACTAGACTTGAACTGCTCTGATACCACTAAAGTGTAACGACCCGGCTAGTCACTACACACTACACAGTACACCTGAAAACTGGACAGAAAGGAACAAGTGTATACATATAGTGTCTAGAATATACATATATACATAGTCCAAGTCTGACTAGATTCAAAATGTACAAAAAACATCCAAAGTTACTACACCAAGTAGCTGAAACGACAAAACATCAACAAGGATCAACTCTGCCTGCCAGCTGCAGACACACCACTAGCCACCAACCTATCCCTGCTCTGCTCTCATACATAGCATGATCATCGCAGTCCAAACCACATGGAAACAACAAAGGGTAAGCTAGTGAAAAGAAACAACATACATATATAAAATATGAATGATAAACAGCTATCAACACATCAACCAACTTAACAACATCAACCTATAATGTATCAAACACACATCTCACATCATTCAGCAATATCAGCAGTAAACAACAATAACACACAATGCGTCGTCACGCATATTAGTTAGTATTGGTCGCTTGTAATCGGTACAGCTCGACCTGGCCCCTATACCGTGGTCGCTTTGTACACGTGTGCCTCGACCTTGCCCACACACGAGACCACTAAGACTTAGAGGAGAATAGCAAGTTACCACTCCAAGGGTCAGCTTTCCAGGGAGGGTTTTCAACAAATTGGGCTCGTAGAGCACCACAGCCGCTGCATCCACACAATGGGATGAGGTAAATTTCAAAAACAACTCCTCTAGTCTTAGTGATCAACAACTCAGCCTTACGGCCTACAACAACTCAGCCATTTCGGCCTACAGCTAGCAACTTAGCCCAACAATCTATAGTACAACAATATTTTAATTCAACATACAGCATATTCTACACGGAATACGACTCATCCAACTTGTTTACAACTAATATAAATTATCAAATTAAAAACCAAAGCAACACCAATCAACCTAAGCACCTAAAACAACTTTCAACTTAACCAAATCACTAAATGTGAAATGGCAACCTTCACAAAAAAATAGCGCATCAGGAGTTACACTACTCCTACCATACTCATCTTTATCTCATATGAAAGATAAGAAGATTTCCTGCAACTCTCATGAAGACTGCAACTCTCATGAAGACACCAAGTCCTAACTCCTTCATCTACCATATTAAAAATGATAAAAACCGCAATAGCTATAAATAAAGCTGGCAGCTCGACCCCTCTTCACTAAAAAAGCCATATCTAGAGTTCTAAAACTCCTTTTTGAGTGATTCCAGCGCCATTGGAAAGCTAACATCCAAGGCTACAACGTTCATGAAGACTGTAAAGTCAAATTCTAAAAATTAAATGCACGCCCGGTGCATTAAAAGAGAGACCAACGCAATTCTCAACCAGAGACCTTCATAGGTCTATTGCGCCCGGCGTGGTTCTTCCAACGCCCAACGCGATTCACCCAGGGATTCCCCATTTCAAATCGCACCCGATGCGAAGAATTGAGCTCGGGGCAAATTCAAACAGGAACCCTCAAACTTTCAAAAATTTCTTCAAAACCTGCAAAAAACACCATAAAACCAACATTCAAACCATCCAAAAGTTTACATTTCCGTCAAACAGCAATAAAAGCACCTCATTTACAACATGCAACCTCAAATCAATGAAAGCCCAAATTTTTCACCCAAACCTCGAAAACCCCGGAAAAATCCATTTTTCATCAATCTCATCCAAAATCATCCATCATCAAACAACAATGAGCTTCTAGAACTCATCTTCAGCCAACAATCTATAAAAAAAACTAGCTTCCCTTACCTCGATAAAGAGAAATCCGAGCTCCGGGAAGAAGAACGGAGAAGAGAAAGAGAACCCGCACACGACTGGCTCTGAATAGCTTTCAAGTTGGAGAAATTGCACCTCCTAGATCACTCACGACTTCAGCTTGAAGAAGAGAAAAGGAATTCCAAAATCAGCAGGGTTTGTGAGGAGAAGAGAGAATTTGAGTGAGTAGGAAAATGAAAAAGAGTTGAGAGCGGAGGAAGGAAAAAGAAAGAAGAGGGTCTCACAACCTCCCCAACAATAAGAGTTTTCGTCCCCGAAAACAGACTTACTTGGAAAAGAAACGGATACCGCTCCCTGCACTGCTTCTCCACCTCCCAAGTAGTCTCACCAGTAGCTGCATCCCACAACACCTTCACCAGAGCAATGGACTTGCCCCTCAACTCCTTCAGTTTATGATCAACCTTAGTTACTGGTAGCTTCTCAAACGTCAAATTCTCCTTCACCCACACATCATCTAGTTCAACCACATGACTAGGGTCATGGACATACCTTCTCAGCAGGGACACATGAAATACATGTTCCCCTTCCGCAACTCCAAAGGCTTACGCCTTTTTTTTCAGCATATGATTTCTGCCTACTCCGAACAGTCTTCATCGTCTCTTGAATCAGCTTCACCTCCTCAGTAGTCTGTAGGATCAGCTCCGGTCCCACAACCACTGATTCACCATTTTGATACTAGCACAGAGGAGTCCTACATCTTCTGTCATACAAGGCTTCAAACGACGCCATCTCAATACTAGCATGAAAGTTATTATTATACTTGAACTCAACCAGTGGTAGGACCTCCTCCCAGCTCAAAACCAACAGCCTTCTCAGTTTCCAGCAAACCAAGAAGTTTCACCAGCTCAACATCCTACAACTGCTTCTATTCAACCTGCCTCAAGAACTCACTAGTTATGATAATCATCCCACAACTAATGTGATCCTGAGCTAACTCCACGCAGAGGTTCAGATCTCTAAACTCCTCTACCAGCTCCAGCTGTCTCACCATCATACTAGACATGTGGATGGATTTCCTACTCAGCGCGTCCGCCACAACATTGGCCTTACCAGGATGATACATCAACTGGAAATCATAATCCTTCAGAAACTCCATCCACCGCCTCTGCCTCATGTTCAGCTCCTTCTGATCAAACAAGTACTTCAGACTCTTGTGATCACTGAAGACGCTGAACCGAGCACCATACAGATAATGTCTCCATATCTTCAAGGCAAAAACAACAACTACCAACTCCAAGTCATGAGTGGGATAATTCCTCTCATGATTCTTCAGTTTCCTTGAAGCATACGCCACCACTTTCCTGTTCTGCATCAGCACACACCCCAAACCCTGGTGAGAAGCATCACAATACACATCAAAAGGTTCACCAGAGTCGGGCAACGCCAGCACAGGAGAAGTAGTCACCCTCCTCTTCATCTCATCAAACTCCGCTCACAAGCATCAGTCCAAATGAACGGTTGCTCCTTCCTTGTCAGCTGGGTTAGAGGCGCTACTATCTTGGAGAATCCCTCAATGAACCTTCGATAGTAACCTGCCAAACCCACAAAACTCTGAACATCAGTGACAGTTCTGGGACACTCCTACTACAACACCGACTCCACCTTAACCGGATCAACAATAATCCCCTTAGCTGAAATCACATGTCCTAAGAACTTCACTTCATCCAACCAGAACTCGCATGTGGAAAGCTGAGCATACAGCTGCTTTGCCTTCAAAATCTCCAGCACCAGCCAAAAGTGCTCTCCATGCTCCTCCAGGGTCCTTGATTAAATCAAGATGTTATCAATAAAACACCACCACAAATTTATCCAAGAACAGCTGGAAGATCCTGTTCATCTAATCCATGAACATTACAGGGGCGTTGGTCACACCAAACGACATCACGACATATTCATAGTGACCATACCTAGTCCTGAAAGCAGTCTTCGGTATGTCACCCTCCTTCACCCCAATTCTGGTGATATCATGACCTTAAGTCAATCTTAGAAAATACTGATGCTCCCCTCAGTTGATCCATCAAGTCATCTATCCGGGAAAGTGGATATTTGTTCTTAATGGTCAACCCGTTCAACTGTCGGTATTCAACACAAAGTCGACTACCTCCATCTTTCTTCTTCACTAACAACACGGGAGCACCCCACGGCGATACACTCGGCCGCACCAACTGCTTCTCCAACTGACCTTTCAGCTCAACCAGCTCAGCTGGGGTCATCCTATAAGGAGCCACTGACACTGGCCCCGCACCTGGAACCAAGTTAATGCTAAACTCCATCTCCCTAAGAGGAGGCAACCCAGGCACCTCATCCGGGAACACCTCAGCAAAATCCCTCACTACACACTACACAGTACTCCTGAAAACCGGACAGAAAGGAACAAGTGTATACATATAGTGTCTAGAATATACATATATACATGGTCCAAGTCTGACTAGATTCAAAATGTACAAAATACATCCAAAGTTACTACACCAAGTAGCTGAAACAACAAAACATCAATAAGGATCAACTCCGCCTGCCAGCTGCAGACTCACCACTAGCCACCAACCTATCCCTTCTCTGCTCCCATACATAGTATGATCATCGCAATCCAAACCACATGGAAACAACAAAGGGTAAGCTAGTGAAAAGAAACAACATACATATATAAAATATGAATGATAAACAGCTATCATCACATCAACCAGCTTAACAACATCAACCTATAATGTATCACAGCAAACATATCACATCATTCAGCAATATCAGCAGTAAACAACAATAACACACAATGCGTCGTCACGCATATTAGTTAGTATTGGTCGCTTGTAATCGGTACAGCTCGACCTGGCCCCTATACCGTGGTCGCTTTGTACACGTGTGCCTCGACCTTGCCCACACACGAGACCACTAAGACTTAGAGGAGAATAGCAAGTTACCACTCCAAGGGTCAGCTTTCCAGGGAGGGTTTTCAACAAATTGGGCTCGCAGAGCACCACAGCCGCTGCATCCACATAATGGGATGAGGTAAATTTCAAAAACAACTCCTCTAGTCTTAGTGATCAACAACTCAGCCTTACGACCTACAACAACTCAGCCATTACGGCCTACAACAACTCAGCCATTACGGCCTACAGCAACTCAGCCATTTCAGCCTACAACAACTCAGCCCAACAATCTATAGTACAACAATATTTTAATTCAACATACAGTATATTCTACAAATAATACGACTCATCCACCTTGTTTACAACTCATCTACCTTGTCAAATTACCCACCCAAGCAACACCAATCAACCTAAGCACCTAAAACAACTTTCAACTTAACCAAATCACTAAATGTGAAATGGCAACCTCCACAAAAAAATAGCGCATCAGGAGTTATACTACTCCTACCATACTCATCCTTATCTCATATGAAAGATAAGAATATTTCCTGCAACTCTCATGAAGACACCAAGTCCTAACTCTTTCATCTACCATATTAAAAATGATAAAAACCACAATAGCTATAAATAAAGCTAGCAGCTCGACCCCTCTTCACTAAAAAAGCCATATCTAGAGTTCTAAAACTCCTTTTTGAGTGATTCCAGTGCCATTGGAAAGCTCACATCCAAGGCTACAACATTTATGAAGACTGTAAAGTCAAATTCTGAAAATTAAATGCACGCCCGGCCATTAAAAGAGAGCCCGACGCAATTCTCAACCAGAGACCTTCATAGGTCTATTGCGCCTGGCGTGGTTCTTCCAACGCCCGGCGCGATTCACCCAGGGATTCCCCATTTCAAATCGCGCTCGACGCGAAGAACTGAGCCCAGCGCAAATTCAAACAGGAACCCTCAAACTTTCAAAAAAAATTTCAAAACCTGCGAAAAACACCATAAAACCAACATGCAAACCATCCAAAAGTTTACATTTCCGTCAAACAACAATAAAAGCACCTCATTTACAACATGCAACCTCAAATCAATGAAATCCCAAATTTTTCACCCAAACCTCGAAAACCCCGGAAAAATCCATTTTTCATCAATCTCATCCAAAATCATCCATCATCAAACAACAATGAGCTTCTAGAACTCATCTTCAGCCAACAATCTATAAAAAAAACTAGCTTCCCTTACCTCGGTGAAGATAAATCCGAGCTCCGGGAAGAAGAACGGAGAAGAGAAAGAGAACCCGCACACGACTGGCTCCGAATAGCTTTCAAGTTGGAGAAATTGCACCTCCTAGATCACTCACGGCTTCAGCTTGAAGAAGAGAAAAGGAATTCCAAAATCAGCAGGGTTTGTGAGGAGAAGAGAGAATTTGAGTGAGTAGGAAAATGAAAGAGAGTTGAGAGCGGAGGAAGGAAAAAGAAAGAAGAGGGTCTCACAACTGGCGCCGCATGCATGCATCTATGAGTCGAGTTCATGAGATCATTGCATGATGAATGATTATGCATGTGTTATTGTTGTATGTATAATTTGAATTTGCATCTGATTAATGAGTAGTTATGACTGTGATTGTATGATTAGTGTGTGTTACCTAACTATTATTTCTACATCTAGAACCGAGTGAGATGTTTCTCACTCCCTTGTTGTTTCTTGTATGTGTTTACAATTGTGTTGCAGGTGATCATCAACATGAGGATGTTGGTGATGAGGCTTAGGCTTTAGTTGGGCATGCTCTGATAGGATATGTGACATCGGAGCATAGCTAGGTGTAGTTAGGATTTCATTAATGTATTTTGTTTGGAGGAACTTATGTTTTATTTTTCCACATTTGATAATGTTTTAAGTTGATGAATGGGAATTATCTGCTCGGATGTTAGTAGAGGTGTTGTTTTAAGTCTAAAGATTTTTAACCCAATAAGATGTTTTGCTTTATAATTATTTCATATGTATGTTGGGGTAGAGGGCGTCACATCTTGGACCCTCAATGTGTTAAGATAACCTAATAATCAATTGCACCACAACACATTATGCGTATATAAGATTGAACAAAATTATCTTTATCTCTCACAAAGTATGTATAATGTCAAAAAAGTTGACATTATTCTTTAAATATAACGTTGGCCTTTCTGACACTAAATTTAAATTAAGTTTAGTGTCGAAAAAGTTGACATTATTCTTTAAATATAGTGTTGGTTTTTCTAACACTAACTTAAAATAAGTTAGTGTCAAAAAAATTGCCACTATATCTTTAAGTTAGTGTTGGAAAAGATGATGCTATTTCTTTAAATATAGCGTCGACTTTTTTGACACTAACATAAATTAAGGTTAATGTTAGAAAAGTCGATGCTATATTTAAAGAATAGCATCAACTTTTCTGACACTAAATTCAAGCTAAATTCAAGTTAAATTTAGTGTCAGAAAAGTTGACGTAGCATCTTAGATTGACTGATAGTATTTACGTCAGCTGTTAGTCGACACTTATTTTTCGTAGATATTTCAACATTTTCTTGTAGTGTATTCTTAATTGTCTTCTTAACTTATTATATGGATGAGATAGCATATGAGATTCTTGGTGGATTAGATGACACTGCACTCAAGATCTATTTATAATATAAAAGTCAAGTTATTCTACATCATTTTGACACGTCAACTTAAAGTATCTCTAAAATATTATCATGCATGTCAGCAAAAATGCTTAAGTGTCATTATATACTATCTCTCTTATTTACATGTCATTTTATAATGTTTTTCTTATTTTAATATATATCTCTATATCTATAAACCCTAAATATTTGGAATCTGTATTATATTGACACGTCAACTTAAAATGTCTCTAAAATGTTGTCATGTCAGCAAACATATGCTTACGCGTCATTATATATTGTCTCGCTTATTTACATGTCATTCTATAATGTCTCTCTTATTTTAACATATATCTCCATAACCACAAATCCTATATCTCCATATATATAAACCCTAAATATTTGGATTAAGGAGCACCATAGCTATCGTTCTTCTCTTCTTACGACGGCTCACCCCTTCTATTATTTCATAGTCATCATTCTTTATTGAAGGAAAAATCAATAGCTGCACCTCTATCACATACGCGCAACGATTACACCCAATTCAACCATCTTTTTCAGAAAATCGTGATGGCTACTTCTTCATCACGTACGCGCAATAGCCGCACCTCCATTTTAGATTGTCACAGAAAGAAATAGGTGTGATTTCTTCTAATACATACTCTTTTAGTTAAGATAAAAAATTTACTAATATAGCAAACCAAAATTTAATCAATTTTGTTGTACTCAATTTGCTAAACTGAATCTCTTTGTTGGATTACTCTTATAAATTTAAATATTATGTCTTTCAAATTGTTTCTCACCATCACTTTAGTATATTAAATTATTATCTCTATTCTAATGTTAACAGCACTCAATGATGACTTTCCAATATGAAATGACACTGAAATTGAAGTTGTAGTCTTTTTGGGTAGGATTAATTTAAACATGTGATATTTTTTGTTTTAGTTTCATTCTATTTTGTGTTGGATTTTTATTTAGTCACATAATTTCTAATTCAACATTATTTTGCGGTTGAACATTCATGGTAGATCACTAAGTTCACATTCACAATTACTAACACTCATTTTGGACCATTTTTATTTAGAATTGAAAATGACAAATGCTTGTCCGATATAAAATTTTTTTATTACCTTAATTTTTCATTTTACATATTCTCTATGAATTCCAATTATTTTTTTTTTTCCATTTTTAAATATAAAATCACTCTTCATTGAAATTAATTACAAAAATTGACAGTTATATGTTTTAATTGATATTAAGTTCATAATTAATGTTAATTAATTATGATAAAATTCTATAATTTTTTTTAATAAAATTCTATACTATCTAACCTAAAATAATGATTTAATATATTTTTTATATTAATTAATGGTACTTTTTTAAAATAGAGAAAAAAAGTCACTCTGATAGCATTTGTTAGTAAATGGATTCTTAATTTAGGCAGAAAAAAGTCGTTTCTTAAATAGATGTTATGATATACTATTATCATACGTTACAATTAAATTATATATTATTTAACCTAAAATAACTATTTAATTATCATGAAAAGGTGTTGAATGCGTCATCGCCTCCACCAATGGTCTATTTGTTGACATAACCTAAAATATTTATCATTAATACAATACAATAATGTAGAATTTGTAATTTGTCATTATGTGTATATAAATTAATACACCTGTACATTTGGTAATAAATTAATAAATAATAATTAAATACCATTTATTATTTTCTATAATTATCATTTTAACCAAATTATTTATCTTAATTATGAATTAATATGTTGTTTAAGATATGTAATTATCAATTAAATATAAAATCAAATTATTAGTTTCTTAATATGAATTTTAATAAACTATAATATCATAATTTTATTTTATAAAAATTTGATTGAAATAAGACTATAATTTTATATGTGCTTTACAGAAAATAGTGACATAATTTATTTGATTATCCAAGTTACCTTAATTAATTGATAAAATTAAATAATAAAAATATATATCTTAACTCATGAATATATATATATGAGTGATGGGAAAAAGTAAATTTGTAAATTTATATGTACAACTTTTAATTAAAATAGAAATTTTAATTATAATAATTCTAACAAATGATACTAATAAACAATCAAACATTCAAATAATATATTTTTTTTCTTTATAACTACTTTTAATAAAATCAATGACTTATTCATTAACCTTTCTTTACAATATTTTGAGATTAGTTGGATTTGTTCAAAACTTTGTTAAAAGGTTGATTATAGAATTGTCTTAACATGACAATCTATAATCAAAATCAAAGCTTCAAATGTTAATTAATTGTATTTTACCATGTATTCTCTAATATGTGATTTTGACAAAGAAAAATAATGTTAAGGACAAAAACATTAAATAAATACTTTTAGAATCAATAAAAATCCATTAACAAATAGAAATAGTTTAATATAAATTAATATTATTCATTTGGAAGTAATTTAAATTAATTAATTGATAGACCAAAGAATTGAGATATAAAAAAATAATAATTACAATATTACTGAATTTTGATATAAATATATATTAAAACATAAGATAAAAATTATGAATTTCGATAAATGCGCGATCCATGTCTAGTAAGACTAAAATTTTCAGAATTAACTTGTAACATATCTCATGAAATAGCTCGGAAGTTATTACAATGCTACCTAATCATTGGCATAAGGCTTACAGCCAGAGAGCGAGAGGAGCAGCATAGGCCAAAAAAAATTGAGTCAATCTTCAACAGTTATATCTTTATTTATCTTCTTTCTTTTTGTGTTTTCTATCTTACTCCAATCAATGATAAGCGTTAGGTTCCAACAAAGTCCAAAGTCTAACGATATCATGATAAAAATAAATAAATAAATAAACGTTCATTCAGTCGTGAATTTGGCCCATAGACAATATATGCCTTTCTCTAAATTGCATCTTTTCCTCAAAATAATCAGTTTTGAACACGATAGTGGAGGACTTAAATAATACAACTTTGGACAAATATGTCTTTATAAAGTTCAGTGTTCGTAAATGTTTATTTTCTTTGTGCAAGAGTTTCAAAAGTGTACTCAATCACACTTTGTTAGTTCCTTTATAAACATTTCCCAACTCCAGCTTCTATCATAACTAATTTACAAGAATATATGCAGCGTTTGATTTTGTTCTAATAAGAAAATCTTGTTACTCTGGAGTCTGGAACATACCCATGTTTGACAAGGGAAAGTCCATTAATATATGTTCCTTTTATTTGCTTACTCTGTTTATTTTCAAGAACATGAAACAAATATTTTCAGAACGTTCTAACTAAAATTATATATAACCAGTTTTATAAAATTGGCTCGACCAGTATAAAGGTTAGGTACTGGTTGGTTCAAATATGGGTTAATTTCTACATGATTAGTTATGCATCTGAACAGATTTTGTGATCACATCAACTTTTAGAAGTGGAGGCACTAAATAATACAACCTTTGGAAAACTTGCAGTCACTTAGAGAAAGATAAGTTGATGACTGTATATGTTTATCGCCTTTGTGCAAGACTTTCAAAAGTGTACTCGTGTCAATTCTCATGACACTAATTGGTTATTTACTTTAATAATGTAGTGATCACATCAACTTTTAGAAGTGGAGGCACTAAATAATACAACCTTTGGAAAACTTGCAGTCACTTAGAGAAAGATAAGTTGATGACTGTATATGTTTATCGCCTTTGTGCAAGACTTTCAAAAGTGTACTCGTGTCAATTCTCATGACACTAATTGGTTATTTACTTTAATAATGTACCATTTATTTACAAAAATCTACAGCTTTTGATGGTACTCTAGGTTCAAAAAAATTGTTATACTTGAGCATCTGTCCATGTTTCTCAAAGGAAAAATTTTCAGCAACAGCTAAACTGCATTTTCAAATTCTTTATTTATCTTTAATGAGTCTTTCTTTATGGTCATCTTTGTTTATCTCTAAAGTTCTATCTTTATTGAGTCTTTCTTTGTGGTCGTCTTTGTTAATTTCTCTCTTATCATGTGAATGAAATAATGTCTCGTTGAGACGTGATTGCAGACCAGTGACAACAACCCTTTTTCTAAAGCAGCACACGTTTTCTTCAAAGCAATTTGAAAGGCGAGAAAACGAGTTTTGTTGGAGGAAGCTTCATTCTCGATCAAGTATTAAAATTAACTGTTTAGAATTCTTTTATAAAATTTAATACAATAATAACAAGAACATACACATTAAAATGAGACAAGTGCCATCAAACATTCACAATCAGGGGACCAAACAGCACGATCTATGAATAGGATAAGGTAAGGTATCTTCACTTTTAGGAAACAATGTTCATATAAAATGTTTATTGGATTAGTAGTGGACTTTGAAAAGTGTAGTCATGTCACATCTAACAAGTGCACCACTCGTGCCAAATGATTATTCCTTTATAAGAATGTCCTAGCTCCAACTTCTGTCCTCACCACAATACACCATCCACTTAGAAGAATCTGATCTTGGAATGTATTCTTGATCCCCAAATCCTGTGATTTGAACCATGGTATCCTTCAAGAATCTGCGGCAGATTCTTCTTTCGTTTATTTTGGTCTTTCAAACACACTCTTCAACCCAAGTTGCTTGTTTTTCCAAAATCAGTGTTACGGTTGGTGATCAAGCTGCAGCTGAGAACAGTGAAGCAAAGGCACTGTTAAAGTGGAAAGACAGCTTTGACAAGTCCAGTAAATATCTCTTGTCAACATGGACAGGTAATAGTCCATGCAAGTGGAAAGGAATTCAGTGTGACAATTCCAACTCTGTCTCCACCATAAATCTTGCATATTATGGACTCCAAGGTACACTCCACACTCTCAACTTCTCCTCATTTCCCAACCTTGCAGTCCTAAATATCTACAACAACTCCTTTTATGGAACCATTCCCCCACAAATTGGTAACTTGTCCAAAGTAAATGTTTTCAATTTTTCTTGTAATTATTTTAGTGGTTCCATCCCTCAAGAAATGTGGACACTGAGGAGTTTACAAGGCCTTGATGTTTCCACATGCCTACTAAGTGGAACGATTCCTAGTTCCATAGCAAACTTGTCCAACCTGTCATATCTTGCTCTGGGTACCAACAATTTTTCAGGGCACATTCCTCTAGAGATAGGAAAGTTGAACAAATTAGAGCATCTAAATCTTGGAAACATTAACCTTGTCGGTTCCATTCCTCAAGAAATTGGAATGTTGACAAACCTTCAATATATTGATTTGTCAAGAAACAAATTGCTCTCTGGTCCTATCCCTAAAACAATAAGTAACTTGAGTAATTTAAATATACTTTACCTTTCTGAAAATCCCCATTTATCTGGGCCAATCCCATCCTCCATATGGAACATGTCTAACTTGACCGAGCTCTTCCTTAATGAAAACAACCTTTCTGGAACGGTCCCTGATTCCGTAGAAAACTTGGCCAATTTAGAGATACTTCTACTTGATACCAACCACCTTTCTGGGTCCATTCCTTCCACCATTGGAAAATTGACAAAGCTAAATGAGTTGTATTTAAATTTTAACAATTTTTCTGGACCAATTCCTCCCTCAATAGGAAATTTGATCAATTTAACTGGCCTTAGTCTCCAAGGAAACAACCTCATCGGAACAATTCCCGCCACAATTGGGAATTTGAAAAGCCTCACCATTTTAGAATTGTCCACCAACAAACTTAATGGAAGCATTCCACAATCCTTGAATAACATCCTCAACTTTGACACCTTGTTATTAGCTGAGAATGATTTCACAGGCCATTTACCACCTCAAATTTGTTCTACTGGCTCACTACTGTACTTTAATGCTTTTCGCAACCGTTTCACGGGTCTCGTGCCAAGAAGCTTAAAGAATTGCTCAAGTATTCTTAGAATAAGACTGGAAGGAAACCAATTGGAGGGAGATATAGCACAAGATTTTGGTGTCTATCAAAATTTGGAATACATTGATTTGAGTGACAATAAGTTTTACGGCCAAATTTCACCAAACTGGGGGAAGTGCCCTAATCTTGATAGCTTGAAGATATCCAACAATAATCTCTCCGGTGGTATACCAATTGAACTTTTTGAGGCAACTAAGCTAGGGAGGCTTCACCTTTCTTCAAATCAACTGTCTGGAAAGCTGCCAAAAGAGCTAGGTATGCTAAAATCATTAAGTGAACTCAACATCAACAACAATCATTTTTCAGGAAACGTTCCCACTGAAATAGGATTGTTGCAGGATCTCCAATTCTTGGATCTTGGAAAAAATGAGTTGAGTGGCCCAATACCAAAACAAGCTATAATGTTGCCCAAATTAGTAAAATTGAATTTGAGCAATAATAGAATAAATGGAAGGATTCCCGTGGAGTTTAGCAAATTGCAGTCTCTTCAAACTCTTGATCTTAGTGGGAATTTGTTGAGTGGAACAATACCAGGAGATCTAGGAGATTTAAAGCAATTGGAAATGTTGGATCTCTCTTCCAATAATCTTTCTGGTACCATTCCATCCAGTTTTGATCTCATGTTCAGTTTGACTTCGGTCAACATATCAAACAACCAGTTAGAAGGGCCACTTCCAAAAACTCGAGCCTTTCTTAAGGCTCCAATTGAATCATTGAAAAATAACAAAGGCTTGTGTGGCAATGTCACTGGCTTGATGCTTTGCCCAACCAACCACATTCAAAAGAGGCACAAGGGTATTCTGTTGGCATTATTTCTTATCCTGGGTGCTCTTATAGTAGTATTGTGTGGGGTGGGAGTTTCAATGTATATTCTTTGTCGAAAAGCAAAGAAGAAAGAAACTCATGCTAAAGAAAAAGAACAATCAGAGAAAGCACTTGCTGAAGAAGTATTTTCCATATGGAGTCATGATGGAAAAATTATGTTTGAAAATATCATCGAAGCTACCAACAATTTCAATGACACATATCTCATTGGAGTCGGAGGACAAGGATATGTTTACAAGGCTAAGTTGCCTTCGGGTCAGATTTATGCGGTGAAAAAACTTAGTCTGGAAACTGATGGAGAAAAGCCCAATTTCAAAGCTTTTGAAAATGAAATTCGAGCTTTGACTGAAATTAGGCATCGTAACATTATCAGGCTACATGGATTTTGCTCACATTCACGATTCTCATTCTTGGTTTATAATTTCTTGGAAGGGGGTAGCTTGGATCAACTACTAAGCATTGACACAAAAGCAGCTGCATTTGAGTGGGAAATGAGGGTGAATGTTGTTAAAGGTGTAGCCAATGCTTTATCCTATATGCATCATGATTGTAAACCTCCAATAATTCATCGTGACATATCAAGTAAGAATGTTCTTTTGGATTCACAATATGAAGCTCATGTCTCTGATTTTGGAACAGCTAAGATTCTAAAGCCTGGTTCACGCAATTGGACCACATTTGCAGGCACCTTTGGGTATGCAGCTCCAGGTTGGAACTCTTGTCCTCATTTTTAGTTACTTAAAAATATAGATAGAAATATTTATATTTTTTTCCAATTAATTTACACCACTTTTATATTTAAATTTTGTTTAAACACTCTTTATTTGTTTAATTTACACAAGGTGTAGAGGAATTGGACTAATCTGTAAGCAAGAATTAGTATGCAAAATTTGAGTAAAAAGTAATATGTGCAAATACCAAATCCATATGAAAATATAAGTTAGTGACCTTGTAGCTTATACAAAATCCTCTACATCGGTTTATGTGTAACTTCCAAATTTTCAATTATTGTAGAGCTTGCCCAAACTATGGAAGTGACCGAGAAATGTGATGTATTCAGTTTTGGAGTGCTTTCTCTAGAAATCATGATGGGGAAGCATCCAGGAGATCTCATTTCTTCATTGCTATCTTCATATTCAGCAACAGTGACTTATAACTTGAAGCTAATTGACTTGTTGGACCAAAGACCACCTCAACCTCTAAAATCAATTTTTGGGGATGTCATTTTGGTTGCTAGCATGGCATTTTCTTGCTTGAGTGAAAATCCATGTTCTCGCCCAACCATGGATCAAGTGTCGAAAAAGCTTATGATGGAGAAATCACCTTTAGCAGAGCAGTTTCCCACGATTAAACTTGGACAGCTGTTGTAAAGGATTGAACAACTTAAATATTTTATTGTTCTTGTTTTCTTCGCTGTGCAACATTTATCCTTTCTTTTATGTTGTAGGCTTGTTTGTTATGTCATTGTAATATATCACGCATAAGTTACTAAAGCAGCTAGATTTTATTGTTCAAATATTGATTTGGGACATTTGTTTGTGTGGGAAATCCTTAGGGTAGTGTGAGCATGCATATGTACAAATTATTGGTTTGAATAAAGAACTGATCTATGAATTAATTCAGTTGCTATACTTTTCAATAGATAATTGATTTAGGAAATCTTTAGCTTTTAGAATACCGTAGATTCTATATATACCATTTTGATCCTTTGTTATCTCCTCTTTTGGCTAATTGGGAAAGTTGGTTATGGCAATGTTTTTAAACATGATGACCCAATTTGATTGACTCCACCATAGTACTAGATTATCTATTCAATCAGCGAGTAGTGGATCTCGATATATATATCTGTAACCGAAGAAACACTAAAAATTTAAATGTTTAACATAATGTCAAAATCTAACATATTGCAGAGAATAAGTCCAACAAACAGGTCATCAAGACTACTGAAAACATTCATCTAGTTTATCTATGAAAAGTAAAATGGTCTTTAGTCGAGTACACATGTTTAAAATCCCTATAAACCTGAACACCTATAAAATGCATTGGTTAGACAACATTGAATCTACTTATAAATGTCTAAAGTACACATGTTTACTTCTGCTTGACATGCGAAATTGCAATACATGTCAATTTCGGATACAATGGTAAAACTTAAAATTCAAAAAGGATATGAAAGACAACAAACGACATCCTTAAATCGTAGACCTACAGTGCCACTAACAATTTATTGTATTATTCATATTTAATATATAAAAGTAGATACACTTCCTTTTGAAACAGTGTACTTTGTGTTAGCATGACCGTGCATAATTTAAAATGTGAACTTTATTTCAATAATTTAACAATAACTTTAAATCATTTTTTCAACACATTTCTACAAATTCTCACTCTTTTTCACCCACAAGTACCATTCTTCAAAGATAATCATGAAGTAAAAAAAATCTTTTTGACTTTTGTGATGCATTTGGACGTGTATCAACATGGTTAGATATAAGTGAGTATAACTTTAGAGAGTTTATCTTTTGAATTTTTTTTATTTTCAGTAAAAAAAATTCAAAAATACTTTTAGATTTGTATCTAAACATATTCTTTTATAAAATGTGTGAGCTATAGTTGAAAAATAAAAAATAAAAATTGCACTCGCGAATATTTAGATCCTATTCATGAATTAACAAAAAATGCACAAAAGTTCTATTTGTCTTTGATATTTTTTGAATCTCTTTCTTTTTGCATGTAGAATTGTCATTCCCTTTGATAATTAAGAACTTAATTTGAGAGTCATATTTTGATCCCGGACGATTTCGGGACTTCCGTAATAACCAACAAATGACAAGTGTTTTGGCTTGTGTGAATCTTATTTCAATGGAAACTTAACGAATGAATCCGCTTACGCATCCTGATTTTATTACTATATCGATAGTTATTTCAAGTATTACTTGACATAAAACTGATAGTGAATTTGTTTATATTTTTTTCATGAATAAAATCCGTGGATGATGATAAATGGGTATGATTTTATTATTGACTGAAACCTTGTTGCTTTTTTCGCTGTCCGAGTATTAGCTGTGAAGAAAAAACTTTCTTAAAATAGGAACCTACAACAAGTATTCAAAATGCAAAGCTTTAACCCATCAGCAAAAGAAAAATATGCTGCGAGCGAAAATGACAAGGGAGAGGGATTAACATGCACAGAAAAGTATATTTAGCTTAAAAGGCAAAATATTGTGTAGAACATATATATATATATATATATATATAAATATATAGAGAGAGAGGAGGGTTATAATAACACTGATTTAATTTTTATTAAGTATTACATTGTTTAATAAGTTTATATTAAATGTGAATTTTGTAAATCCAACCGTTAGATTGAAAGTTCATATCACTTTATACGTGTATATCAAATTTTATTAAAATTGAATAAAAACTTGAAGGAAATCAAAGTGTTCATATTTTAGTATATT